TGAGATGTGTAAACATGTCGAGATAACATGGCCGATAGCCATCAGTCGATAACATAGAACGTAGGAAATGCAGCGTCCCGCTACCAGTTTTAACACTTTACATAAAGTTAGGAGGCACTTATGGCTAGGAACTACAAATACCGATTTAAGAGAGAAAATTCTCAGTGATACTTGGGTACAAAGACCTTTGAATAACTGACAAAACATATCAGTGCATAACAGTAAAACTATATCACCACGGTAAAGTATCTTCTGTTTCAAAGGATTAATCATGTACAGAATCTTACACCGAGAATCACTTCAGTACTCCTTGTCAAAGCAGCGTAACACGAAAGTCTGGTTTATCTACATGTAAGTGCAAAATGACATTCTTCATATCAAGTGACATAAAATGTATACTAATGAATCTTAGAGAGATTATCACAAAAGACTAACAACAATCGACCCTCCGGCTACATATGCAGCCCTCATCATGTAGAACCCACCATGCTTAAAGAGGGTTGTCTGGATGACAGGACATTTAAACACCCTATCACAACCCATCAACCTCGCCTGGTTAACTAGTTCACTAGTTACTAGCCGGTCCTAAGCCCGGGTAAAGAGGGAAGGTTGGGCACAGGGATAGCAACCCTACCCCGTAAAACAAATCTAACCACTAAAGAAACTTCAAAGCGCAAACAAAATATAAAAAATAAAAACAAAATTATTCCTCGCTGGAATCGGAGAGGCGAAATGACGCCAGTTGGTGAAAGCCTTCGGGAAGCCAATTGGCCGATGTGTCCACTCTCGATGAAAGCGAAAGTAAGGGTGGGGACATGGAATGTCAGTACGATGTTTGAACCCAGCAAGGCAGCCCAGATTGTAAAAGAGATGAGAAGGTATGACATTGAAGTGCTTGGAATTTGCGAAAGCAGATGGGATGGAAGTGGAGTCTCCAGACTGTCAACCGGAGAATCAATAATCTACTCCGATATTCTCACCCAGACGACAACCACTAACCAGTACACTGAGGGAATGGCTATCATGATGTCCCCCTCCCAACAGCATCGAAGGCTGTCTCTCATGCAGTGGGAACCAATCTCCTCCAGGATTAGTATCATAACAGCAAGGTTCAACTCAAAAGGAAGGAAGGTCACAATCATACAATGATACGCTACACTATGCATCTACAAATAATGAAAAGCAAGAGAAAAAGGATGAATTCTACAGACAACTGCAATCAACACTGGACAAAACGCCACCTCAGTTGGCGATATCAAAATTCTAATGGGCGACATGAATGCCGAACTGGGAGCAGACAACACAGGAAGAGAACTAACCATGGGTCGAGAAGCGCTCGGTGATGTGATGAACGAGAATGGAGAATTGTTTGCAGAATTCTGTGCATCCAGCGATTTGGTGATTGGAGGTGAGGCAGTGTGTTCAAGCGCAAGAATATCTATGGATTTCACCAGATGGACACACTAAAAATCAGATCGACTTCATCTCAATGTGAAGAAAGTGGAGACGCAACCAGCCTACTTGACACAAGGTCAATAAGAGGAGCAGATGTAGGCTCAGACCACTCACCATCTGGTGCAAGGAACCTTCCAAATCAAGTTAAAAGCCCTCAAGGAAGCTGGTGATAGACCGCAGTTCAAGTACAACACCCAGAACAGAAACTGAAGGACGAAACTATAAAGGAAATCTTCACGGCAGCCATTAAGACAAAGTGGGAGATATCGAGGAACATCCATGAAGAAACCAGTGTGGGAGAACACTGGAAGTGTTTAAAAATGAGATGTGGAAAGAAACCTGCACAACTGTATTAGGAAGGAAGAAGAAAGAGGATAAGGAATGGATCCCGATGGATACATGGAAGCTGATGGAGCAGGGAGAGGAGGATGGTGAAGCAGAAGATAAACCAGTGCAAGGATGCTCAACGACAAGAGAAACTGAGTACAATGTATAAAACACTACACTGGACACTAATATAGTAGCCTTCAAACCTTTATCCGCCTCATTCAACAACTATATGAAGACGCCACATACCAAGTAATTCACAATGGGAAGCTCAGTGATGCTTTTGAAGTGAAGACAGGAGTGAAACAAGGTTGCCTACTATCTCCCATGACATTCCTGATTGTGGTCGACTGGATCATGCAGCAAACAGTGGGGAGCGAGAAGAGGGGGATACGCTGGACTACGGAAAACAACCTAGAAGATCTGGATTTCGCCGATGACTTGTGTCAGATGTCACACAAACTTGATGATCTACAGGCAAAAACTAACAAGTTGACAGAAGAGGCAGCGAAGACGGGACTTCAAGTGAATATAGAGAAGACAGAGGTGATGAAGATACCGCACCACCACCAACAACAAACTCCAATCACCATCAACGGGAGAAACTTAAAGGAAGTAACCTCCTTCACCTATCTAGGAAGCACTGTTTCAACTACAGGCGCCACAGGCACAGACGAGGATGTCAAAGTCAGAATCGGAAAAGCAAGACAGGCTTTCATTAGCCTGAAACCAGTGTGGAGATCTGCACTCAGCATGTGGACAAGATCCGGATTTTCAACACCAACGTCAAGTCAGTGCTTCTGTATGGTTCAGAGACTTGACGCGTCACGAAAGGGATTTCCAATAAACTACAGACATTCACCAACAACTGCTTACGCTCGCTACTGAAGATCAGACGGTCAGAAAAAATAGGCAACAGGGAGCTCTGGGAAAGAACTAACCAGCAACCCATCGCTCAACAAATATGCAGAAGGAAGTGGAGATGGATTGGGCATATAATAAGAAGGCCGGCTGGAGACATCACGCGCCAGGCCAGTCACTGGACTGGAACCCCCAAGGGAAGCGACGAGTTGGACGTCCGTGGGTGACATGGAGGAGATCGTGCGAGGAGGAAATGAGAGCTTCTGGGCTGTCGTGGAGCCAAGTCCAAAAGATTTCAGAGAACAGAGTGCACTGGAGACGTGCTACTGAAGCCCTATGTTCCATTAGGAACCCAAAGGACTAATAATAATATTATAATAATCAAAACCCATCACGGGACCTGCCGAGACTTCAGTGCGAATAGCCCAGCATGTCTGTACTTGTCCGGCCTGAATTTAAAAAAGTACGAACAGAAGATGATGCTAATCTAAACCACAGCTGAATAAACTAGGTTTGGAATGCAGTTTCTAAAACCTAGTAGAGAAGCAGACTTTTAACCGAAAGGCACAGTATTTGCAACTATATGGCCAGATTGGGTCATATCAGGACAAACGGCAAAGATTATTACGCATCAATGGCTCATGATCCTTATTCTTGAAGATAATAATAGCTAATACTAATTGAATCCGGAACCGTTAGAAGTTCTTTAGGATTAATTACGAACATTCAAAACTATTTTAAAAACGACAACTGGTATCACAATTTCATCACCAAGACAAACCATGATGTTAACTTATGGACCACTACCCATTGCTCGGAGAAGCCATAACTTCAAATCTACATGCCGCAAGTAAAACTCTTAGAACTAGAGTAGTTTACACGGAGGGAAAAAAATTACCATCGGCATCGTTACCTATAAAATTCACCCTCGATGACTTGATCACATTAAAGTAGATGGTATAGCACCAGCCAATTGCTCAACTTCTTACTTTGATCTCAAACTGCCACGTTCAGATATACCCATATAAACGCATCTGAAAGTACTAGGACAACGCGAATTGTGGAACCTATTTCTCGGAAAAAATTTAACCAAGTGCCAACTCCCGATGCTATAATCACCAAGCAAAACTTCCCTGTTCGAAACAAACGTTAACTATTGACTCTTATTCTTCAGTTCCTAACCCGAGTAAACCCCAGCCTCTAACAGTAGCGTTCGACTAGACCACTTACTTTGGATATATTAACGCAGAAGACTTAATGCTGAAATAGTGAAGAACTTGATCGAATGCCTTAGAACAAACACCTTAGAAAGCAACGCACCACTTTGGAAGACAACGGTAGGAAACATGACCCAACACTCAGATGACCAGAAAACCTGATTTCAATTCCATACAAGATTCCAGCTGCTTTACGAACGGTAGGTTTCTACCTCTTACTGATGAAACATCCTCTTTTCCTTACACTTCGCTAAATTATAAAAACTCCAGGCCTCAACATACTACGTGTTTCGAATCGAAACACGCTCAAGGAATCTTGTGCGCATACAAACAGCTGGGAACTAATCACACCTGTTTGGGGGCTGATAGTACTACCTGGCTGCCAAAATCTCGGTAGGCAAAGCTGTGTTTGAATCTGTTTAACCTCTCAGGATTAGGTGGATCCCATTTGGAACTTAACCAACTACGCTAGTGAGCACCGAAAGACAGAACAATCCACTCATACATATTTGTTGTTCCTTGACCAGTCCCCCACTTCAACGATATCAGACTCACACTACCTAATACTTCCGTCATTTTGACCGGCAGTTACTTACCTCCACCCTCAGTTATGTTCTACAACCACAGGCATTTTGTAGATAGTGGGACTTGTCGACCGCTTCACTCACCTCAGACGTGTACCCTAGAAAGAGCCAGTTGCTTACATCTCAGCTCGTAAACAAGTCGATTTGGCACTTGCCAACTAACGTCATCTGCGACGCCGACTGATGAGATATCCAACTACCTACCAAAGGATGATTATACTACGCTGCAGTTCATACTATCCTTTTTACGCCGAAGACGAAAAGATAATACGGTTAAGACCACAAATGTCTTACTAGCATCATTCGCGCTTGGTAGAATCTCCGTTGCCGTCAATTCTTCATTTCACACAATTTTGTCTATTTAATATCACTCTTATTTGACCTACATGGTTTTAGATAACTTCTGTGAAGAGCGGCAACTTTAGCCGATGTACCTGTGAGCGAAGCTTAGTGTTTATTTTGCCAGCTTAACTTATATCCAACAGAAGTTTCTGATAATAGGACATCGAGCGAACAAGCGTCAAACCAGGATGGCTGGTTGGGTTATTGTGGTAAACAAGCCCGTCAAGGTAGCAGTAACCAGTGGGGCTGAATGGAGAAAGGTGTCTCAGGAACGCCAGATACTTACAGAGGGACAACATTTCATGTGAAAGGTGATCCAAAAGCTCACGGCGTTAATGTGCTTATCAGTTGAAAGCATTCAGGGGCTCAATATGCTTGACCTACTTTAGTACCTCCCTAAAATTAAAATCTCCGGATAAGAACCCATAATGGAATCTACAAGTAACCAAACTGACCAAACGATTAAATGCCTCTTGAGAATTCAGCTTCAGATAGTTTGTCTCATCAAGATTTCCGCAGTTTTTAAGAGTGACTATATTATGCACAAACCAGTTTATTGAATCAAACAGCAACTCATTTTCCAACCGGTAGCACTGCACGTATATTCTTTGCGTGAGGAATATTCTGAAAGAAAAGCTGTTAGTACAACTAAGCACATACCATGCTCTGTAACATTTCCTGTGCCACAGGGTCAATTTCCAGGGCAATCGAATCGAATATGGATACCTCAGGTTGATAGTTGTCTCTCCTCTCTCTTTCCTCTTCTTGCAATTTTATGCTGATACCTCGGACAGGACCGGCTTCAAATCGCTTCATCAAGTGTGTCACGTAACCAGCGATCATGTTTCTTAATCTCTTAGAGCTTATGCATGCAATATCTTGACACACTTTCTTGTTAGTATGAAAGTCTCTGGTAAGTTTTGAGTAAAACCTTTCAATGATGAACCTTGAGGCCTTCTTGACTGTTTTTGTCCGGACTCGACCCTGCAAGCATATATTGCACTAAACTTTAGAACGTACCATGATCACTCAGTATTTTAAATCACGCTACTGCAAAGAGCGCCGTACCAAACGAAGAGGTGAGAATTAAATCGTATCAATATGCTGTACAAAATGCTAATTAAGTCTTCGGTGATATAAGTTGTAGTGTAGTTGGTCTGTGTTATTCCACACAGTAGATGTTGCTGCAAAGATCTGGTTTTTCCCGGAATTCATCTGCCGAAGTATTTGATACGACTTGCTGATGTATGGAGTTCCATCTCCCAATTGTTGTTGGCTGAATATGGATTCAAACGGTTGGTAAGGTAATAGAATAAAAATTTTCCTGGTTGACTTTGTCTCAAGAGTAACTGGGCCGCTATTTCATGTGGTTGTCAACCGGTGGACAAACAGACAGAATGAAGGCGGTTAAAATAAGAACCTCATGTGAGTTTTTAGTGACCTCCCATCTACATCTTAAGTAGGTCTCACAGCCATAGAGACATGACGACAGCCATTTGATTGGCAGTAGCTTGCTTATATCTGATCATATTTAGTCTGTAAGTACGGCAGCCGTGACCAGTGTGACCGAATACTCTAGAAAAGCCTACACAAGTAATGTTAATTCTGCCTCGATTGTCGACATTACGGTGCGCAGGTAAGTAATACGGGGGTGGCCTTCTCTGAATTCGTGTTGACGACAAGTAAACAATATAATCGCTGTGATAAGATTCCTCAGCCCATCATGAACCGACGACTTAATCACTTTGTGAAGTATGGGTAAGAGCTTCCTTGGTCTGTATTTCGGATTAACTCCTCGATCTCCTCTGAACATTGGCACTATGTGGCCTAACTTTCAAGGACTACGAACGTGCCCCCAGCTAAGAGAATTTTCCAATATCTCGGTTTAATGCTGAGCCAGGATTCGTGCCGCTTCCCGCAGAACCACTCAATGGACTTTGTCATGTCCTGAGGGAGTGTCTTGGTGGACAGTGATAGCCCGAGCTATACAACTACTCAGGTCAGTGACGCGGAGTCCTGCTTGGTAAATGGAATATGCGTGAATGTTTGAGCAAGCGATCGATGGTGACAGCACCTGCGAATGCTGACCCTCTAGGATTTCAGCTGCTTGAATGCTGCTACCAGCCGGCCTATTGGGCCCCAAAAGTTGAGACTCACGCTTTCGCCCGTTGGAATTATGCAGCATAGCGAGACACAACTTTCGGGTTGGGAACAAACGTGTTCTTAAGCTCAACTTGATGCCACTGCTGATTGACTTTTAGTGATTTCTTGCATGTACTTTTAGTATTTTTAGACAGTCTAAATGAGTGTTCATCACCTGCCTTCTTGTGCTCGGCCCAGCGGTGTCCTTTCAAACCAGGTACTTTAGAAGTGGCTTGCTGGTCATCTTTCTTGACTTGGAGCACTTTGGCATCAAAAATGAAACAGACTGACCACTGCCATACGTGATTCTGTCAAATACAAATCTCCGATGGGTGTTGACATGCTGCCATACATGATCGGCTTCTCAGTCAGCTGTTACAGCGCCCCTTTGAAGGGCTACGGTGTTCAGTCACCCGAACTTCCAACGACGCTAGTATAGGGGTCGGGTAGTTTGATTTTACAGACACATCGCAGACCCATGAGAAAATGGCGACTGCTGCTTAACGAGTGAGGAATGCTAATTTTCCTCTCAAGAGTTCTTCACTTACAGAGGCATTCACATAACTGGCTTGCATGTCCAGAGTCAGCGAACCACTTGTTCCTGTTTGTGAAACCAGGTAAACAGGTAGGGAATGAGGAACAAGATAAACAAAAACAGTGTGTCAGCGACTCAATCTGTAGGCTCAAGCTGGGACCTTAACTGCACATCAAGTTTCTCCAGGAAGGGCTCCACTGATGTAGTATGAACAACTACGGGGTGGACATACCAGGTCCTAACTATGGCTTTCTTAAGGTGATCGAGCGTCTCGTCACCTAATTAGTGACGCGTGTGAAGTCCAAGCTGACGGTGCACACTTAGCCGCTGTTGGCCGGATATCTGGCTTTGCTGGTGATTCTGATGTCTATGGAACCTCAAGCTCTTTTGGCGGAACCTGGCCAATTGTCTGCTCTCATTGCATAGAAAAGGCCGAAACGCCTGGATGTTACCCCGCTAGCCGATGTAAGCATTAGGTCGGTGACAGGTGTGAGCTGTGAGTTGCTCAGGCTGGAAGCACTATGTCGTCCCAGGGGGCTTTAACCGGCATTAAAAGTGAATGGCCCTTTGCGTACACCGTTTTCATGCGTGTGAACCCAACGGGAAGCTGGTTCATTGTCGAGTGACGTTAGGCTGACTCCAAACGGGTAAAGCTTGTAAAATTGGAAAGGCCTAAACGAAGATTGAAGAGTGAAAGATAATCCTGATGTCTGACTTATTAAGTTTAAATTCAAACATCTGTGCTCACCTCACGAGGTCTTCACAGCCCGGTTTAAGCAGTCGACTAAACAGGTGGCCTAAAATGTGTCCGAAATGCTACGTTTTGTTGGTAGGTCACAACCGTGTATATTCCTAACGGTGAGGACTCAGTGCCACGATGCCTTCCACGTATGCCTTGAACCTTGGTTAATGGGTGGATTTAGTGTGATGCCTCCGAGTCAGTCCTAGGTGCATCTTATTTTTTGAAGTGAAAGATGAAGAATAATCATCCCAAGTTCTGGATGGGGCTGTGGGAGACCGTCAAGGACTTAGAGGGAATGCCCGTGATCAAGTTTTCCTAAGACTCAGCCCAGGGTTACGAGCACCAGATTTGCACAAAATGTTTAACCGTGACAGCATAATACTCACGTTCATTGAGGACAGAGGTACCAAGGCCCTTCTCTTGGAAAATGTCTCCAGTTTCATGCTGTTAAGTTTCGGTGTGGCACACATTACGCCACATGCGTATCACTTTGCATTTTCAGAAGTGATGGTTAGTCCATTTTGATCCGCCTATTTTGGGAGCCGGGCAAATCGTCCAGTAAAGCGTGCCTGTCACTTCAGTCCCTTATTTTTGGCCATACCGCTGCATCATCAGCAAGCAGAAGTATTTCAGAAGATGCCCTCAAAGCCAAGTCATTTATGAAACGGAGGGACGGGAGGTGACCCAGACCAGAATCATAGCAGACTCCTCCTGGGCAGCTTGTTCCTTTGAAGATGGCTGAGGTCGGGTGGACTTCAAAGATGCGGTTGCTTAAATGTGATGATAGTCGGCTAAGCATCAGTGGCCGAAGTCCTAGAACCAAGACTTGTTGTGAAGACAGATATAGTTGACCCAGTCAAAAGCCCTAGAAAAGCTGAGGTGTGTGAAGTCTGTCCTATTCCGACAGCCAGCAAGGCTAGTCCAACTATCTACTGTGGTTCGCAATTTAGTAATGAATGAATATGTCCCAAAACCAAGTTATTGGGGTGCGAAGATGCAAGTGGACATGAGATAGATTCGTAAGCTTCCATAAACTACCGACTCCACTATCTTCAGGGTTTTGGAGTGAAGAGTCATAGGCCTGCATTTGGTTCGGTGGCTTCGTTGATTGCCCTTCAAAATAGAAGCGACATGGACTAACTTCCAACGTTCAGGCGCTTCCAAAGGGTTCAGTTAGGGGTGAGGCGTCTTCATGAAGGACCGTGGCGTGAATTTCATCCAAACATGGAAATGCGCTTTTCTCTAACATTGGCAGTTTTGAATGCACCTTATCGACACTCCATGGGAGAATTGGAGGTTTACACTGAGTTGACTACATAGCGGTCTGTGAACGCCCATGCAATATCATCGAAGAAAATCAATCCCAACAAGAGATGAAAGGAGAGAAATGATAGCCGAAGTTATCTTGAAGGATACCCAATTTCAATATGAAGCTTCTCCTTTTCTGCTGGTGAACTGGTGGAAATGATTTTGACCGGTCATTAAGTGATAACAAATAGTTCAACTACATTTAACGGATGAACAGTCCTTTCAGTGAGGAAATGTTGCAGACCTGTCATTATTACAGGGGCATACTCTGGACAGCACTATTTTATTATTATTATTAGTCCCTTGGGTTCCTAGTGGAACATAGGGCTTCAGTAGCACGCCTCCAGTGACCTCTGTTCTCTGAGATCTTTTGAACCTGGTCCCACGACAGCCCACAACCTCTCATTTCCTCCTCGCACGACCTCCTCCATGTCACCCTCGGACGTCCAACTCGTCGCTTCCCATGGGGATTCCACTCGAGGGCCTGACGCGTGATGTCCTCCGTCGGCCTTCTCAGTGCATGGCCAATCCATCTCCACTTCTTCCTGCATATTTGTTGCGTGATAGGTTCTTGGTTGGTTCGTTCCCAGAGTTCCTTGTTGCTTATTCTTTCTGGCCATCTGATCTTCAGCAGCGAGCGTAAGCAGTTGTTGATGAATGTCTGTAGTTTATTGGAAATACCTTTCGTGACGCGCCAAGTCTCTGAGCCATACAAGAGCACTGACTTGACGTTGGTGTTGAAAATCCGTATCTTGTTCCGCATGCTGAGTGCAGAAGATCTCCACACTGGTTTCAGGCTAATGAACGCCTGTCTTGCTTTTCCGATTCTGACTTTGACGTCCTCGTCCGTCCCGCCTGTAGTTGAAACAGTGCTTCCTAGATAAGTGAAGGAGGTTACTTCCTTCAAGTTTCTCCCGTTGACGGTGATTGGAGTTTGTTGTTGTTGTTGTTGATGGTGGTGGTGCGGTATCTTCATCACTTCTGTCTTCTCTATATTCACCTGAAGTCCCGTCTTAGCTGCCTCTTCTATCAACTTGTTAGTTTTTGCCTGCAGATCTTCAAGTTTATGTGACATTAGGCATAAGTCATCGGCGAAATCCAAGTCTTCTAGGTTCTTTTCCGTCGTCCAGTGTATCCCCCTCTTCTCGCTGCCTACTGTTTGCTGCATGATCCAGTCCACCACAATCAAGAATATCATGGGGGATAGTAGGCAACCTTGTTTCACTCCTGTCTTCACTTCAAAGGCATCACTGAGCTTCCCATTGTGGATTACTTGGCATGTAGCATCTTCATATAGTTGTTGAATGAGGCGGATAAAGGTTTGCGGTACTCCGTAGTATTGAAGCAGTTTCCAAATTACTTCTCGGTCGACGCTGTCAAAGGCCTTCTCAAAGTCGATGAAGTTGAGGTGGAG